TGAGACTCTGTCAAAAAAAAAAAAAAAAAAGGCTCATTGTCTGTAGCACAGTGGTTACGGTGCCAGCCACATGCACCAATGCTGGCGGGTTTGAACCTAGCCCAGGCCTGCTAAACAACAATGACAACTGCAACAACAACAACAACAAAAATTAGCTGGGTGTTGTGGTGGGTGCCTGTAGTCTCAGCTACTTGGGAGGCTGAGGCAAGAGAATTGCTTAAGTCCAAGAGTCTGAGGTTGCTGTGAGCTGTGATGCTAAAGTACTCTACAGAGGGCAACATAGACTCTGTCTCCAAGAAAACCCCAAACAAACAAACAAAACACTTCTAGGGTGAGGTTCTCTCTGAAGGTGGGGATAGGGACTTCTTGGGCGGTGGGCTGGACTGTGTCTGACACAGAAAGAGCTCACATGGGGAGGTGTGGTGGCTCTCCCAGCGGGCTTCCTATCCTTAACTTCATCAGGCTTCACCTTCTTCTTCTGGTGCCACTGAACGCCTGGGAGATCCCCGTCCCTGCAATAGTTCCAATCGTTCAGGAGGCTGAATGGGAGAATTGCTGTGGGTTCTGGAGCAGAGACAACATGGACTCAAATCTCAGCCTTTTTTTTTTTTTGCTTGTATGAAAGGTCTTTATTGGTGGGGGGAGGGAGGCTGCAGAGCAGCACGGAGGAGGAGAGAAAGATAAGGAGAGAGTGGGAAAGAGAAGAGAGAGAGAGTAGAGAAGAGCCAGGGGGAAGAGAGAGAAAAGAGAGCAGAGAAGGAAGGCAGAAGGAGGCGAGAGCCAAATCTCGACCTTGTTACTCACTTAGACCTGTGTCTTCCTCTGCAAAATGGAGTGATGGGATATACCACTCTGGGGTTTGGCGATACAGTCAGTTACAAGCAGAGACTTATGAATGGTGGCTATTGTCATTTATATTAGCAAAGAGCTGCTTTCTCCAGACCCCACTGTTGATAATTGGAAGGGGGGTGTTAAGAGAGACCCCTGTTGTGGCCCAAATTGTTTCTAGCCTCTACCCTAGGTTCTCAGGAAGAGCCTGGACTCAGGGTCCCCTTCTCCACCAGGACCAACCAGGCAAGTGCTACAGGGGTGGACTCTGACCAGAAACTACTGGGGACACTAGTGATGAGGAAGTGTTACCCAAGAGGGTCAGAGCAGCAGGGCATTGGCACTAACTCTACCCCAGGGTTCCTTGAACCCAATAACCAGTGCTTTTCATCTTGAATGTCCTTCAGAATTAGGGCCTTCTGTGAAATGTGGGATTTCTTCCCCACTAGAACCAATATTACCAGTAGTGGTTACAGCTTCTGTTGATCGAAATGTTCCTGCAAACTTAGATGCATTATTTCAATTAATCAACAATGTATATTGGCTCGGCGTCTGTGGCTCAGGTGGCTGGGGCGCCAGCCACATACACCTGAGGTGGTGGGTTCAAGTCTAGCGTGGGCCCACCAAACAACAATGATGGCTGCAACCAAAAGGTAGCCGGGCGTTGTGGCAGGCGCCTTTGGTCCCGGCTGCTTGGGAAGTGGAGGCAAAAGACTCGCTTGAGTCCAGGAGTTGGAGGTTGCTGTGAGCTGTGATGCCACAGCACCCTACCCAGGGGGACGGCTTGAGGCTCTGTCTCAAAACAAACAAACAAACAAACAAACAAAAAAACAATGTAAGGCTGGGCATGGTGACTCATGCCTGTAATCCTAGCACTCTGGGAGGCCAAGATGGGTGGATTGCTAGAGCAAAACCCTGTCTCCACTAAAAAAAAAGTAGAAAAATTAGCCAGGTGTTATGGTAGGTGCCTGTAGTCTCAGCTACTTGGGAAGATGAGGCAAGAGGATTGCTTGAACCTAAGAATTTGAGGTTGCTTGCAATGAGTTATGATGATGCCAATGCACTCTACTCAGGGCAACAAAGTGAGACCTGTCTTTATTTTTTTTTTTTGAGACAGAGCCTCAAGCTATCACCCTGGGTAGAGTGCCGTGGCATCATAGCTCATAACAATCTCAGACTCCTGGGCTTAAGCAATTTTCTTGCCCCAGCCTACCAAGTAGCTGGGATTACAGGTACCTGCCACATGCCTGGCTATTTTTTAGAAGTGTGTGTGTGGAAGTGTCTTGCTGTAGTTCAGGTTGGTCTTGAACTTGTGAGCTCAGGCCATCCACCTGCCTTGGCCTCCCAGAGTGCTGGGATTACAGGCATGAGCCACCATCTCCCCACCCACTTCAAAATTATTATTATTATTATTATTATTTGAGATAGGAGCCTCAAGCTGTCCCCCTGGGTAGAGAGCTGTAGCATCACAGCTCACAGCAACCTCCAACTCCTGGGCTCAAGCGAGTCTCCTGCCTCAGCCTCCCAAGTAGCTGGGACCACAGCCCCCTGCCATAACACTCGGCTATTTTTTGGTTGCAGCCATCATTGTTGTTTGGCGGCCCGGGCTGGATTCCAACCCGCCACCTTGGGTGTATGTGGCTGGAGCCCTAGCCACTTGAGCCACAGGCGCTGAGCCAAAAATTATTTTTTAATTTGGCAAAAATGTATCAAGTGCTTGCTACTGCCAAGCACTGTTCTAGAGAGGGGCAGAAAATAAACAAGTTGGGCAGAAAATAAACAATTTAGCCATAAGGAAAAACATACTTAATGACAGATTATAGGGGAAAAGAAAGAATGAGTCAAGGAGGCTGGGAAAGAGAATTCCAGGGAAGATCTACCAGGAGGATATGACATTTATGACTGAAACCATCAAAGACCAGTAGCAAAGCAATGTCTCAGAGAAGCAGCTTATGCAGTAACCGGGCAATTCCTTGAATGTTTCAGGAATCACAGGCCAGAGTGACAAGTGCAGGAGGGTGGAGGAAGGGGGAGGATAAGGCGGGGCTGAAGGGTTGCAGGAGAGGCCTGAGTCTCTCTGAAAGTCTTCCTTGCCTGAGCCAGAACTGGGCTCCTATGTGGGAAACAATGGGAACCCCACTAACATTCATTTAAAATTTTTTTTTCGTGGAGACTGAGTCTCACTTTGTTGCCCTCAGTAGAGTGCCATGGCATCACAGCTCACAGCAATCTCAAACTCTTGGGCTCAAGCAATCCCTTTGCCTCAGCCTTCTGAGTATCTGAGACTACAGGCGCCTGCCACAATGCCTGTCTATATTTTAGAGATAGGGTCTCATTTTTACTCAGGCTGGTCTCCAACTCCTGAACTCAGGCAATCCACCCTCCTCAGCCTCCCAGAGTGCTGGGATTACAGGTGTGAATCACCATTCGCAGCCTAACACTCGTTTTTGCTATGCTTGAAGTTATTCTTAAAATAGTGTCTTAAAATAGTTATTCTTAAAAAGTTTAGTGTCTAAACCATGAACTCTTTGAAGGAAAGACTGTTTTCTCCCACCACTCCACTGCTGTGATCCATAGGTGGTGCTCATCAGAGGATTCTTCATACTAAATTAAGTGGCTCAACCCTATGAGGTGGGAGAGAAATAAGGCCTTTGGCATATGATATAGAGGTGAATAGTATTTCCCAAAGATTGGGGCCACCTGGAACCTAAGAATGTGACTTTATTTGGAATAGGGTCTTAGCACATGTGACTAGTTACAGTGATGTCATACCCGATGCATGCAGGCCCTTAAACCTACCATGACTGGTGTCCTTACAACTTGGGGAGAGAACAAAGACACAGAGGGGAGATGGTCACCTAAAGACTGAGGAAGAAGTTGGAGTGATGCTGCTATAAGCCAAGGAAGTCCAAGGATTGCTAGCAGCTACCCAAAACTAGGAAAAAGCAAGGAAGGATCCTCCCTTGGAGCCTCCATAGGAAGCATGATCCTGCTACCATCTTGACTTCAGATTGCTGGCTTGCAAGAACTTTGAGAGAATAAATTCCTGTTGTTCAAGCTACCTGCTTTATGATGCTTTGTTAGGCCAGCCCTAGAAAACTACTTGCTTAGGGGTCACCAGAAAGTCAACACCAGTATGCAAACCCATTTTTTTTCGGTTCCAGAGTATGAGATATCCCTAAGAGTTTCTAGTAATAATTTTTTTTTTTTTTTTGAGACAGAGTCTCACTTTATTGCCCTTGGTAGAGTACTGTAGTGTCACAGCTCACAGCAACCTCCAACTCCCGGGCTTAGGCGATTCTTCTGCCCCAGCCTCTAAGTAGCTGTGACTACAGGCGCCCACCAGAACGCCCGGCTATTTTTCGTTGCAGTTTGGCCGGGTCGGGTTTGAACTCACCACCCTCGGCTTATGGGGCCAGCGCCCAAACCACGGAGCCACAGGCGCCGCCCTAATAAAGTGTTTTTAAATGCAAATGCTTAAGGGTAAGGGCTCAGAGGCTCAGATATACATTTACTCAGCAAATATTTATTCAGTGCCTACTAAAGAAATGTCCTGAGAATCTTGTTCCTGCTTACAGCGTATTAAGAGGACACCCCCGCAATAAGAAAAGATACAGAAGTCGATGGTGTATAGAGCTATAAAGACACAGAAAACCAGATGAGGGACAACTCAGATGCATGTATGTGGGTGAGGAGGAGGCGATCCTCTGACAAGTGGCTTTTGAACGCGGCAGACAGCAGGAACAACCAAAGCAAAGGCCCAGAGGCGGGGCGTGTTGGATAGGCAGCAGGCCAGCAAGGCTGGAGCAGAGAGTGCAGAAGACACTGGGTTCCGGAAACGAACTCAGAGAAGCGACTTCAGAATTCCTCCGCACCCTAGCAGCACCCCGGCGACGCCACACCCAACATGGCGGCCACTAGGGGCCCAGACTGCTGGCGAGCGGAAGTACGTTCAGTAGGCGCCGGAAGTGGGAAGAGTCCCGCCCCTTGCCGGGGTCTCTGTAGATCCGCAGACGCGCCGGCTTGGAGCATCCTTAGCCCGGCAGGCGGGAGGCCCCGGGGCTGCGGCTCCGGCAGCCGCTGCAGGGCCAGACCTCGTCATGGCCAGCTCCGGAGAGGTATGTCCTACTTCTCTCTCCGCTCCTGCGTCGATGGCCTTGCGCACCCCCGGGCTTCCTCCTGTACTCACCCCAGCCCCAGTGCGTCCTTTCTGTCCAGACCCCTGCCCCCTCCGTCCTCCCCATTTGTACCCTGGCCTCGCTGCTGGTCCCATTTTGGTCTGGTCCTTGACCCATCCCTCCTCCCGGGCCCTCGCCCTGCCTCCCAAGGCACAAGCTGTCTCCCTCGTTCTTCCATCCCTCTCCCAGCCCCACATTCTTGATCGCTAGGGTTGCTACTGTCTGTCTGCTTCCTGAATTTCCAGGCGCCTCCGGGGCTCTTTCTCCATGCCCCTGTGTCTTGACTCAGCCCTTGCAGCTCTGGGACGTCCCGCCATTTCTCACTCTGTCTTCTTTCTCTGGATGCTCTGTTACAGCCCAACCGACTTGTCTCTGGAGCCTGCTTGTTGACTTGGGTTGGGGGTGGTGGTGATGGAGGAAAAGCCATTTCGCCTGGGAGACTTGAAACTTTTCTGAAATTCCTTTCTCAACGTTCCATAAATCTGGGTCCGATGGAGAATCCCACTGCATCCCCGTAATGTGGTGCAAGGTATTTTCTCTGTAGACAAGGGTGAAGCAGGACTGGACTTTGTCTAGTGGTTTCCCTTTTGTTGCTTCCTGCCTACTTGGGTTTGCATCTGTCATTTTCCAGGACTTAGACTGTTGGGCACACTTAGAAATTTTAAGAGCTTTCCTGGGTTTTAGAGAACAAGTGTGAGAGGTTCAAAGTGTTTTTCTCAGAGTGGATGGGGCATGAGTGTATGGAAGGCAGCTTGGGGTTGTTGTTATCCTCAGACCAAGTGGCTCCTTGACTGACAGAGAAGGTTGTGTGTGGCCCAATTGCAGGCTAATGGTAAGATTGAAGGGCCAGAAAACTCCAGCTGCCTGAGGAAGAGTACTGGAGTAGCCTGGCTGTGTTAGCAGATTCCAGTTAGTCGTGTGTGTCTGGTACTTTTTTATGGAGTTCTGTCCCTTGAAGCACATGGGGGCGACCTCGCCTTCAAGACCTGCTTCTCACTGGCAGGGTGGGAACCTTTTAGGTTGAGAGGAGAGAAGTGAGTATAGTTTTGCCTCAAATGTAGAGATGTAGATCTCTTTTTCTGGAATAGTGATTTATTATTTTTTATTTTTTATTTTTATTTTTGAGACAGAGCCTCAAGCTGTCCCCCTGGGTAGAGTGCCGTGGCATCACAGCTCACAGCAACCTCCAACTCCTGGGCTCAAGCGAGTCTCCTGCC